TTTGTTTATTATTTTATGTTTAAGAAAATGTGCATTGAGAAATGCATTAGTTGAAATTCATTGTAATACAAGCACTGATAAAAGATACAAGAGGCGGTGAGGCAGTAGTAAAAGAATGTTATTGTTTTACGACAGTAAAATATTTATTTTATTAGTTTTTTTTTTATTTGGTATTGTTAAGAAAGTGTGCACAGAGTGCATTAATAATTGTAATTTAATGTAATACAAACATGGATAAGATAAATGCAAAAGGCAGTGAGACAGTAGTGAAAGTAAATTTTCACTGTTATAATTACTACACAACAACAGTGAAAAAAATTATTTATTTTATTAGTATTGTTTTATTTGTTTTTGTTAGGAAAATGTGCATTAAGAAAGTGTTAATAATTGTAATTCAAACTGTAAAATATAAAAGCAAGAGGCAGTGAAACAATAGTAAAAGAATAAATTATAATTCATTTTAATTTTAAATTCAGTGTAATTATAACTATTATAAATAACATACATTGATAAAAGCAAGAGGCAATGAGAATAGCAAAATAATTGTTTATTTATTTGTTTTGTTAAGAAAATGTGCATCGAGTAAGTGTTATTAATTGTAATTCAGTGTGATTTAATTCAAAGACATGTTTCATGAGAGTATCAGTGATATTGCACTTGAGTTTTCATATGTCCCCAAAAGATATTTGGACACTTTAGTTAAACTTTAAAATGTTATTGCGTTATTATAACAAAATATCAAAGCAAGTGACATATGGATTGAAGAAAAAAGAGCACTTTTCAAACACATTACACAGAAATAGCTTTTATTAGGTTTTCAGTGATAACTCAACAAAAGCTTTATGGCACTCTGTGCTTGTGAATTGTTAGTGTGTGATGTTCATAGTCGATGTGATTTTCTTCACCTGTGGTTCCTCTGCTGGGACGCCTGTGTGAACTCTATTGAAAATCACTGAAACACCAGTCTTGACAAAAGTGAAGTTGGTAAATAGAAAAGATCCTGCAGTGTTTGAGACACACAAATACAGACACTTATGACATTCAAACATTTTTGCCTTGAAGTGTTCAAATACTTATTTTATTGTACTTTACGTTTCTTTTAGAGAAGACTCTAAACAAAAATTATGGCAGTTGAGACAGATACAGGCTTGTTATTAATTTCTAATTTTAAAAAACACCAAAAAAAAAAAAATTTTTTTAAATCACCAAAAAAAAAAACAGTTTCGTCAAAAGATGATATCGAGGAGAAAAGACACACAGATACAGACACATATTCATGCCATTTCATTTAATTTATTTTATTTTATATTATTTTGTTTTATTTTTTATTTTATTTTATTTTGAGAAAACACCAAGTAAAAATTATGTTGGTGAAAAGAAAAGATAGAAGATACAGACTCAGCATCTAATGTAGTGACATTCAAACATTTTTAACTGTTGGAACACTTTTTGGGCCACTGTATGTCCGTGCGGGGAAGTTCTCTCAGCGCCATGTCGTTCCCAGTCAGAAAAACGAGAAAAGAACTGCGGATATGTGAGACAGGAACGGAGAAAAGACAGGCAAAGTTGAAGCACGGGCCCTACACTAAAACGTCACGTCCCATCTGTCTGGTTGCCCACAGCAACGAGACATGATGTCACAGGCAGTTGAAGCTGAACTTGAGGCTGGGGGGCAGAGCTGGTCACTGCCAAGGATTACGGGGGGAAGATGGGATTGCAAGAGGGAGGAGTACAGCTTACAGAGGAAGAGTAACTTGGCCCGAGTGGCTGTTGGGCTTGAGCCCGGGGCGAGCGGCGGGGGGAGATTAAATCTGCTGCCGTTTTAGTTGTTTTTATGACGTCACAAAAGTTAAATGATTTTCCTATTTAAAACTACCAGTTTGACAAAGACATGAAGTGGTTTATTGGGAAACACAGTTTAATTCCAGCATGACGTGAATGCACTATAAAGTTTGTGTAAATATTTCTCTGTCCATCGGCGTTATCAGTGTGATATCGGAGCTTTATGAGCTGAACTCCTGAGATGCATTAACAGAGCGTCTGCTGATGTTGATAAAGTCAGTGTGATGGTATGTAGAGACACAGAAACAGAGAAACAGAGCTTCGCTGACATGACATTCCCAGAAGGGAGGTTTGCTGGTTTAGTTCAGGTCAGACTGTGTTGTAAAGGCCCATATGGTAAGCAGGTCAGACTGAACAGCTCTGAGAGTGAAGAGCAGGCAGACGTGTGAGAGTCAAGCCTGACCTCTAGTGCTCACATCACTAACAGCAGCATCTCTTCACATTCACAGTCAACATCCAGATCCAGATCCATCTTAAAGTTTCCATACTTTTGAATGAATGCATCAAGAGTATTGATTATAACATAAAAATATTGATTCTATTGAAAATGTTTAAGCTTCTAATATCAGTACATACTGAGACATGCACACTAACTTTAAGATTATAAAGTTGAAATATAAAATGTAATTATACATTTCAAATAAAATGTAATACTTTAATAAATTCAATAACTTCAATTTACAATGTATTTATTACATTTATAAAAAAGTAAAAAAAAAAAGTTATAATAGCTTTATGTGACAATAAAATACATGTAATTTAGTTTAATAAATGTAATAACTAATTTTTTATTTATTTATAGTTTATTAAATTGTAAAAATAAAAATAAATGATTAAATATAGGTCTATGTGACAATAAAATACATTTCACTTATTACATTTAATAACTTTTTAAATTGACAAATTTTTTAAAATTAGCTTTATGTGAAAATACATTTCACTTAATAAATTAAAAATGTATTTATATTTTATTAAATGTATAAGAATTATAAACACATTATGACAATTTTGTGACCATTCATTTGACTCAATCAGTTTAATAAATTTAAAGGTTATTTATTTATATTTTATTAAATGCATACAAATTATAAACATTATTCAGTTCTAGGTTGTATGATAATACATGTAATTTAATACATTTATATTTTATTAAATGTATTATAAAATATAAACAAATGATCGAATTATAATAAGTTTGTGACATTTCTTTGAATTTAAATTAATTATATTAATTAAAAGTTTGTTCTGTAATTGTTGTTAATGAGTGATATTTGATCATTTTAGTTTAGCCCTATGTTATATTTATTTTTACCTGTTCATTTAAACTAAGGCTTTTAAAACACAATATTTTATACAATTATACAGTGAGCAGCAGACGTATAATGTAAAATGCCTATAATTGTCCGTTTTTATCCTCAGAAATTGAAAAAAATTATCGATATTGGTCTTGATAGTACTTATCGGATTTAAAATAAGTCAAATTCTTCCTGCACAGATTATTTTATAATAATATAATGTTTTCACTGAGCTGATGTATTTTTAGATTTATCACTAACAGTGCCTTTGTTCTTTTGTGTGTGTTTTTTACAGTCATGGTTCCTTTGACGAGGTCCTGCCTGCAACCTGTCAACACAATTTGGAAGTTTTATGACAAAAAAAAAAAAATCCTGTTTGAAAATCCCCTCCGACCCGGAACGCGCCCTAAGAAACGTGAGCAGCATATGATTGGGAAACGTTCGACCCTGTGTTTGCCAACCGTCAGACGCCCTTCAAGCCCACTCCTCCACCTCCGATAAAGACTTTCAGATCACAGCAGGAGGTGAGGGACTGACACGCACCTACAGCATCTCGCAAGAACCGTCACCAAACCAACGGCAACATAGAGGAGGAAGAACCCCATGAACACAGACAGAAAATCTTACTAGGAACAAGGATGTAGTGTACAGTGGCTGGGATTATCAACAGTTTCAGTGGTGAGGATTCAGACACAACAAAAACGCAAGATTTTGACCAATTAAACTTCAATTTTTTTGTTTTCAAAACACTTGCTGATGTTCAGCATACAGGCTACACTAAAAGTCATTTCACATCATCAGAGCCCCGGACGTTTTGCATTTTTAGCTAATTAGCATGCAGTAGAAACGTCTTTCTTTCCCTTTTGCGGTCAATTACTAAACTAACTACGAAGTATTGCACTACAGTAATGCGAAGAACACTAGTTCGATGTGCACTATTGAAAATGGAATCGACGGCGGACATTATTTGCACATTTTATTGCGGAGAAAAACTAACTGGCAGACTAAAGCTACCCAGATACCCGTTCTCATTTTCAGGCCTCAAACAGAAATTTTTTATTAAAACAAAAGTCCATTTCAGGCACTTAGTGCCAACTAGACAGCACCAGATTTTAGTTAGTACTTCTATAGGATGAATAAAGCCAACCAGTACACACTTAAGGTGCGGTCACGTTGACGAAATTTTGTGGGAAAAAAAATAAAAATGTTTGTGTGACCATCTTGAACCTGACGCAAAATTAAATTTTTTAATTTCACGTGAAATTCCTGATTGCATGGATTCTTATTAAAGGGATAGTTCATCCAAAAATGAAATTCTGCCATCATTTACTCACCCTCAAGTTGTTCCAAACCTGTACGAGTTTCTTTCTTCTGTTGAACACAAAAGAAGATCTTTTGAAAAATGTGGGTAACCAAACAGTTGATGGTAGCCATTGACTTACATAGTATTTTTCCCATACTATGGAAGTCAATGGCTACCGTCAACTCATTTTCATTTTTGGTTGAATTATCTCTTTAAAATGACGAGATTTTGCCTGTGAAGTTTTGCAACTTCACAACAACAACAAAAAAAGTCCCAGTTAATGCAATGCATCTTTTATTTAAAACTCCCATTCTTTTTTAAATTAAAGCCATATGTCTAAAATATGTTTTAAATTGTTTGTTTTTTTTTTCAAAAAAAGGTCCAATGTCAATAGTGTAGCAATGCACAAAGCACCAAATATGCTGGTGAACTTGGCAAATTATGTGACCATCTTGAACCTGATTTGAAATCTGCTGATAGTGAAATTCCCATTCAAGTGGAATCATATTAAAATGACTAGACCCCCCCCCACCCCCCAAACCAACCAAATGAAATTTTGATAAATGTGACTGCAACTTTGTAGCCATGTGACGGAGTTACAATTTTTAAATCGTTTGTTTAAAAAAAAAAAAGTCCCAGATAATCATTGCATTCTTTTATTTCAAACTCATTTCCTTTTTTTTAAATGAAAGCCATATGTTTGAACTTTGTTTTAAATAGTTTGTTAAAAAATCTAAAGTAACACTTTTAATTAGAAGATTTTTATGTAGCAAATAGTATTTTCTAGTGATTTTTTTTAAAGCCCCAGCTAGTCATTCTGTTATGTATAATGGCTGTTTTGAATTAATTTTGTCATTGTAGCGAGGCATAATAAAAGTCCCTGATTCATTAGCACTAATAAAGACGGCCCTAGAGACACGCCCACTTCTGTGTTTTGTTTACGTACCCGTTTACACTCCCAGAAGTCTGTGTTCCAAGAGCATGTGACCTCGCTGCGGAGCAAAAGAATATGCGACATATCATAGCCGTGCTCAGAGGGAGGTGGGCCGCTCGGACCGCTGTTATTAGAAGCTGCGTTTCACCATTCACTTCAGTAGCATTTTACTCGAAATTTGGTAACGTTTCGGCATGGCTGTCTGCACATACACGCACTCTCCTCCACAGATTGACTACAAAGGGAAACCTTTACAGTGAATTAGAGTAGGGAGATCTTCATCCGCTGATAAAGTTTTGTTTTCGACGCAACTGTAATCGGTAACGTCACAAAATAACTGGACTGCCTGACCATGTATCTCACTGCAGGGAAGCATTATTGCCGGATGGCGGCCGTGTCATCGCTTTGGTAGAAAATTAACACGAGAATCGTGATGGCAATGGTCTTTTCTTTTCTAATCAAAGGAAGTGCCTCTGTATTCCCATTATGCAATTTGTTAAACATGAATTCAGGTTATTTTCTTGCATATAAGCTATAGCGGAGCGTGAAATTTTTATGAGAAAAAAACAAGCGTCAGCTCACTAGTTACAAACATCTTTATATATAAAGGATATATCCATATATATTTATATATACATTTTCTTCTTATTTGCCTAATAAGCTCAGTGGCAGTCTAGTTATTTTTTGAAGTATGACATGATCATAAATCAGATATCCGTTCAGAAATACCAGTCCCGAAAACCCAGTTCTGCACTTAATGGTAATTAGAGCAAAAAAATAATCAACCGGTGGAAATCAGATTTCCGCGGAAAATGTTATCGATAGCGTAGTAAAAAAAAAAAAATTAAATGCACGGCTTTTGATTTCTTTTGTGTTTGGACAGGAAGTATTTGTTATTGCAAAATAAAGTGTGTTGATTGAGCCATGTGCAATGCCTTGGGTAGAAACTGTGTTTGTCTCATTGTTAGGGTGTACAGGAAAGCGTAGAGGTGAAAATCCTTCTATTATAGTAAAGTCCACGCTGTCCGGGACTCTAAACTACAGGGCGGAAAGAGCGAGAGAAAATGGTCTTTGTACGTTTTGGGAATTCGTTTTGTAATCTTTCCTTTTTTCTGCTTTTTTTAATGTTTATTTGTAATGATTTGTTCTCAAAACTTAGGAGGGCTGAAGAAGCAGTTTTTTGCGACACGTCAGAATATATCACTAAATAAAACAGGTGCTTTTTATGGTTCAAAGTACGTTCGATCTCTATTATACGTAAGAAGACGAAAAATAAGTGTTATCAAGACAAATTTTAGAAGAAAGAAAAAACGTTCAATACTCTTTGCTTTTTGTATTTTCTAAAGGGGGGAGGGTGTTCAATGTGGTCAAGGTTGTGACAAAAGGCATTTTTCCTCCAACCTTTTCTCCGAAGCGATCAAAGAATGTCGACTGATGACGTCCTAAGAGGTTTTACGACTTTTAACTAGCTAAAACACTGGATTTTTCTGGTATTTTTGACTTCATGCTATGCATTCCAGTATTCTAGGACTTCCATGCTTTGGATCGCCCACGAAACCTTAACGAACTTCCCATCTGAACTTTGCTGGCTTTTTGCACAGAAATTTTGAATTCGAATGAAAGGTATGACAAGATCTTCCCTGTTTACGGGAGAGGCTTTAATGCAGCTCGAATAAATTAAATGCCCATTGTATGCTAAAAATTTTGGAGTAAGAAGAGACGGGAGGTGTGATGTGAATTTGTTATCGTTTATACTTTGAAAATTGTGGATCTCAAAAACTTTCAAGATATGTACATGTACAGTCATGTTTCTACAGAGCCCCGCACATGACATGAGGACAACAGTATATTTATTGTGGCCATGAATTAAGTTCCCTTGTTTTATTAATTTATTCCCTCACTTTATTCAAATTGTGGCTACGAATTAAGAATTTGTATCCATAACTTATTAATTTGTTCCCTCGTTTTTATAATCATGGCATTAGTACAAATTGGCCACGATGTACGAACACAAGAAAGCAAAATAGTAAAACATGGCCATAATTTATGAAAACGTGGAAACAAGTTAGCACAACATGGCGACGATTTACGAAAACAAAAGAACGAATTTGTACAACATAACCGGAATTTACGAAAATTATGGAACAAATTTGTACAACGTGGCTATGATTTACGAAAACAAGGGAGCAAATTATTACAACATGACCACAATTTACGAAAATTATGGAACAAATTTGTACAACGTGGCTACGATTTTCGAAAACAACGAAACTTATAAGTCACAGAAACAAATTCTTAATTCGTGGGAAAAAAAAATTTCCATGTCATTTGTGGGGCTCTGTATATTTCATTCAGAAATCATAAGAAAAAAAAATATTTTGTCAAAAATAAATGTTACAATACAAAAACATACTAATGGTCCATGCAAAAAAAATACAATTTGTTTTCTTTTGATTTTGGTGTGATAATTTTCGTAATAAGATTCACCCAAACAAAGTCAGCGACTGATCAGAAAGAGTTGAAACTGAACCCCTCCCCCTCTTAACCTGCAGCGCCCTCTACTGCCCCCATGTAAATGACTCTAAATATTTGTTTTGTGATCTAGTGTTAGACTCAGAGCATCATAAAGGTTGTCCCTAAAAAGTGCCTTTTGTTCGCAGACACCATCTTGTAATCCTGAGTGCCCATCTAAAAAAAAAAGCTAAAAGAAAAAAAAATCCCCTCGTTCAAACTTCTGTATTTCTCCTTCCGCAACTTCTTCAAAGCAGTATATATAGTACTAAAGGAAATCGGTGTGACTTAGTTCATCTTTTTATTGTTGAATAATTTAGAAAACTGTAGAAAATAGAAAAATGACAACAAAAAAAAAACTTTCTGTCTTGCTTTTCCTTCCTCTGTAATCTTGTCTTCTGCCTCTTTTGGACACTGGAGTAGTCTATAGTTGCATAAGCATCGCCCTTCCCTGTGCCCCTTTTCTCTGAACGGAGGGGTTTTAAAATGTAAAAAAAAAAAAAAAGTAAGAAAAAAATGTTGTCTGAGCAGAATGCAGTTAGCTCACATGTTATTCTTGTCTGTACGCTTCACGTTGTATTCATACCGATCTCTTCAGCTTCTCCATTGAACAGTTAATGTACGTGAACAAGTTACGCCGGTGAGCTCTGGTGGGCCGTCCGACAGACGGGCGTTTCAGCTGGACGCGGTTTGTGAAAACAGTAGAGGCCGACCGCTGGGGTATAATAGGCGAGTTTTTGAGCTATTTATTTCTTTGTTACCAAATTCATTTGATTTGCTATGATCTGTTTATATTGATATTGCATTGAGAATCTGTAATGATGATGCACCTTTGAATGGTTGTACGTGACCAGAAAATAATAATAAAAAATAAAAAAAGTTCCTGTCAAGACGAAGCACCTTAAAAACGGAGTGGTTTCAGCCCAGGGAAAGCGACACAGTTTCAAAGCAACCGCGAGCCCAGCGTTACGAGCCAAACTCATAGACCAAAGTGACGCACGCCACAAAAACCTGAGCGAGACTAAAATTAACTTGAAAACTCACCAGCAAAAGCCCACATAGTGGGCTTAACGAAAACTTGCTTCCTCCCACAAACAAAATATGCAATTGTTTCACTTTCCCGAGTCCGTGAAGCCGGCGTCCGCGTTGGCTGTGATTTATTAATAACTGTAAGTGAAAGCCATAGTGACGGACATGTGTTTGGCGCTCTCGTTGTCCCTCCCTGGTACTGACCGTCCATTTTCTTTCTTTCGTATTTACTTTTGTACTCTTTTGTTGAGCGGGGCATTCAGATGCGTTTAGAGTAGCATGAATCCTTGGCGGCTCCGGCCCTGGTTTGAACTCCTCGAGCGGCGCCCTTCTCAGTCCACACGCCTTCCAGAGCTCATGGTGAAATGCATGTGTTGATTACAATTTCTTTTCCATAATAAGAAAAACAAGTAAGAGCAGCACCTTTAACTGATTGAATAAAAGGATGTTCTTGACTGTAACGATGAGTCTGTGTGGTTATTTTGATCTTCAAATCCAGTTTAGCCTCCAGCCAGGGGCCCTCATGGTGACTTAAAATGATTTAAAACAAGCATTAAAGGAATAGTTCACCCAAAAATTAAAATGTACTCGCCCTCAGGCCATCAAAGATGTAGATGAGTTT